GCGGGGGGGGGGGCATTACTCTGTCACATACCCTCAGAAAGGAGTCACATCTGGATGGGTGCTGAGAGCCATTAACTAACGTGAATTTCGAATTGAGCCAATGTATATACCTGAAAGCAATTGCAAAAATGTAGCAATCAAAATAACTAGTGATAAATCTAGCCCAGACCTTACCCAAAGGACATAGAGACATTTAACTAACCTGAAACAAAAGCTCTGCTCTTAAAATTAAGAACCTCAAATTCAATTGATACTTATGAAGTACTCCCAGGAACTGTGGAAGATAATAATTAAAAGCAGGCCCCACCAGCACAGAACTGAACTAGTTTGAGGGATGAACACGAGGACAAGAACAAGGAATTTGGGGATACAAACAAGGGCCTATGGGAATAAAGGAGCAAGGAAGGCTTCCAGGAGGAGGGCTTGCCTGTGATCTTGGGATATTGATTCTTGCAGTTAAAAGTTCAGGATAGGGGACCAGCAGGTGGCGTGGTGGTTAAGGCTCTGGACATCCCCCATGGCTGACCGCGGTTCAAGTCCCGTATCTGGAGGCTGACTTTCACACTTTCCCACTTTCCCTCTGCTCTCTCTCTCTCTGTTTCTCTCTGGTCAAATTAAAATAAACAAATGAATAAAGAAAATTGAATAAATAATTCTTTTTTAAAAATCCACAAAAAAAGTTCAGGATAAATCCTTGCCTGTATATATATATGTATTTTTAAACAAATTTTGTCTTTAATTTTTACTGATTCTGCCATTCTTTGTTTCTTTGAGTGGAGCCAAATTTCTTTCTCGTCACATTCAAATGATTTTATTTTTTATGCGAAAGGACGGGAGAGAGAGAGAGAGATAATCCTCTCAACTGAACCTGGACATGCCACAATCCTTTTCCCTCCAAGTTTCTATCCTATCCAAATCCTGGTTACATGCACATGCACCCAGCAGGGTCAAGACTCAAACCCTGGTCAACCATGTGAGATCTGACCTCTGTACAGTGCTTATCCACTATGTTACAGGGCTGGTCCTTTGCCTGCATATATTATTGAACAAAATAATGTTTATGAAACAGTTTTGTAAACTTTCAAGGTCTATAGAACTGAGAGATGTTACCGTTATTTCTAAATCCCCCTGCAAACAGATTGCCCACTCTCTAACCCAAGACCTCAGACATATACAGTTGTTGACATTTGCTATAAACATTATACAATCAGTTTATAATAGCGTTTCCAAAATGATTACGTCATCTGCCTTTTAAAGAGTCTCCAGTTGGAACACATGTGCCTGGGGCCTGGCTCATTTCCCTCTTGGGCACTGCCTGGCCTGGATTGAGTGAGCATTTAATAAAATGAACAGTAACAGCAGAAAATGAGCAGAAAAATAAGAGATGCAACATGTCATTAGCTTACAGGAAGAAAAAGACCTGAGAATTTGAGCATTGTGAGGAAAAAGACAAAGGGCCACATGAGGAGGGGAGCATCCTAGCTTCCTTTTCTCTGGCCTCCTGTCCATGAGAAGGACCTATACAGTCAGTTCACTTTCTTCTTGGCCCTAAACATCAAGCAACAATTTAAAACAAACAAATAAGAAAAAACATTTTCAGAGTCAGCAGGTGGCATGGCAATTAAGGGCACTGGACTCCCAGATGGCTGACCATAGTTCGAGTCCCAGACCTGGTGGCTTGCTTTCTCACTTGCTCTCTCTCTCTCTCTCTCTCTCTCTCTCTCTCTCTGTTTCTTTCTGGTCAAATTAAAATCAATAAACAAATAAATAAAGTTAAATAAAATAATTTTTTTAAAAAGCCTTTTTCAAGATGATAGAGAGGGTTAGGAATGCAGGAATCCTCTCTCTTCTCCACACAACTTTTATTTGTAACCTCTGTGTACTTTTATTCAAAGAACATCCTGGCTTGAATTAGACCACTGCTTGGTCTGCAGGAAGAATGAGGACAAATGGAAGACTTTCCAGGAACTGCAATAAACAAGGAGCTCTCAGTTCAGCTTTTGTGTAATCAAAATCATGATGAGTCAACATCAAGCTTAGCGGTTTTTTTTTGTTTTTTTTTTTTTAGATTTTTTTTGCAATAGGGTGCGGGTGCTTGCTGGAGAGACAGAGAGAGACAGAAAGCAAGAAATCACCTCTTAGAGGGGATGGCCATGCTCCAGTGTCTTCTCCATTCTCCTCTTGGGACCTCTGGTACTCACGCACATGCATCCAGCCTGAGTTTTAAGCCGCCAGGTCCGGGACTCAAACTGTGTTCAAGTTGGCAGTCGACTATGTGGGAGTCCAGTGATGTAACCATTATGCCATATGCTGGTTCCTCAAGCTTAGCTTTAACCTGTATGACGTGGATGGGAGACTACTAGCCCCCTTTTTTTTTTTTTTTCACTTTGGCCCAGGGTGGCTGGAGTTCTAGGCTGATCTGTGTGCCTCAGCTGCTTTGGTTAACTGTTTCGATCTTTATTCTTCTTTCCTCTCTGTTTTTATGTAAGTAGATGTGGAAAAGGGCATAGACAAGAAAATACCTGGGAGGAAAGAATGATGTCCTTCTTTCCAAAGTCAGATCTCCTTCTAGCCAGTTAGAGACACCCTCCTGAGTTCAGAAAGTACACAGACACCAAGCTATACCAAATGCTGGTCCTGGGGGGCTGGCAGGTGGCGTGGTGGTTAGGGGCGCTGGATTCCTACATGGCAGACCGTGGTTTGAGTTCCAGACTTGGCGACTCTTTCTCACTTTCCCCTTTCTCTCTCTGTCTGTGTCTCTCTCTGTTCAAATTTCAATAAATAAATAAATAAGTTAATTAATTAATCAATACATGCTGGTCCTTAGGCAAAAGTCTCAGAGTCCTCTACCTTTTATTAAGCAAAAATCAAACAGATCTCACACCACTGCAAGGCAAAGAAAAAAGGGAAGTTGCACAACAGGGAATTTCCCTTTTTCTGACTCTAGAACAATGGTTCCCAGCAAGGGGTGATTTTGCCTTTCTGGGGTCCATGTGGTCCGTTTTTAGTTGTATTTTGTGGGTTCGGGGGAGACATGCTCCTGGCATCTAGTGGATAGAAGCCAGGGATGCTACGAAAGAGGGGATAGCAAAGACTTCTGCTGAAAATGATGACAGTGCCAACATAGAGAAATCCTGAGCTAGAATGTTCTCTGTCTTTTGTACTTGCCCCACCCCCCACCCCCATTGCTCTTGTGCTCACTGAAAGTCAGTGAGAGATGAATGCTAACTTTATTTACTCTTGACACCTCCCTTTCATGTATCTAGTGCCTCTGGTACCTTACCCGCGCCGTCCTTCAGATCTAGTCCTCCTCTCCCCTCCACAGCCTTACTTCAGGTTCTCATTACCTTGCCTTTGGACTATTTACAGCAATGGTCTTCCAAATGGCCCTGAAGATCCACCTTCCAGAGATCTTCCCAGTGTGCAAATTCAGTCATTTTGCCCCTCAGCTTCAGCTCCTTACGTGACACCCCTCCCTTCGTACCCACGCAAGGAAGTCCCAGTTCCTTTGCCTGCAGGCTTGCCTCTTCTGCACAGATGCTCCGGGCTTCCCAGCTTTGCGTCTACCCAGGCTTCTCATTTGAAGCTCCAGCACT